CTTTAATGGTTATGGATTTTTTTAATAGAAACCACGACTTTATCAGTGCTGAGTTGAGAGGAGTGAAAATGCAAAGGTTCCGTTTCAATAACGTGTAAAACTTCTTTAAATTACGTTTTTAGCGAAAGATTTGATGTTTTTGTACAATAAGAATAGTAAATAAGAATAAGGATTTCAGGTCTAATTTAATTGGACTAAACCGTTTCTGTCACAGGTTTCAAAGATTTGCCTAATCAAAATACAAAATTCTTATTACCATTTTTATTCACATGGAAACTACATAAGATCTACCTTATATCTTATAAATATAGTATCTAATAATATAATATTTATTATGCATTTTTACGAGTATTTATTAAATACTTAGTACCTATAGGTATTTGTATAACATTCACAAAAAGAATCAACAATGGAAAATACAAGTGTATAGTGTTTCTAGAGGATACAAACGTATTTATTACATACCTAAATTACGCAGGGTAGTTTCGTTGCTATTTTTTATCTGTTCTGTGTCCTCCATATTGCTAACAAAATTCGGTATCTTAACGTACTCAATCGCAATTTAACAGGCAACTAAAACCCGACTAACAACACACGTAAGCATGCGGCATTGGTGTCCCATGCGGTGACGTCACACCCACCGATTGACTTGTAGGCGATATAAAATTCAAATTTTTTGCAGAGAACCTTAAAATTGCAATATCTTTCCGTTAAGCATGCAAATTAAAAAAATACTCAATGAGCCCATTACATTACATATACGAAAACAATATTGAACTCTTCGGGGGTTAAAGACAAAATGAAACTGTTGTTGAATCTTACTGAAATAAAAAATGTAAATAAATTATTTGCAATGAATATACTCTTTAAACCTCATNTGAGACTTTCCAGTACATCAGCGCTACAACGGCGACTTCTTAAACTTTACTTTGGGTCATAAAACGGGATCCGAATTTCTATGCGCGGCCCAAGGATTATAAAATGTTTGTGCGCGGCCCATATAGGCCCATAAGAATGTTCACTCCACACTCCACAAAATATCTTCACTCCTTGTTTAAACTCCATATTGAAGACTGTAGATCTTTTGAATCAAATTTAATTTTTTTTATGTCAAAAATCAAAAATGTCACATGTCAACATGTCTAATTTTCTGGTTTACTTTTCGGGTCCAATCAAATGTATTATTTTAAAAATATGTGATACGTGCAAATTTGATAAATGTGTTTAATTATATTTATTTCTTAAATTTTAATAATATACTCGTATATGTATTAATGGTAATAATCAACAAGTGCCCTTTAAAATGATTGAAGTCACTGCAAAACTTCCACATGGGCATGTTTTTCTCTCTGGAGAAATTGTGGAATGCAGCATCACATTTGCGCATCCCCCTTCACCTACTCATAAAGTTTCTCAAAGCCACACTGATGTATTTGAAAGCCTAGCATGGGCTTCTGCTCAAATCCATTGCCAATGTTTTACAGACTCGAGGATATCTAAAGAAAATGAACGAGTAAATCAACTCACTTTTCCACATACTGCTTTGGGAGCCTCTACACCAGACAGTGGAAAAATTGAAATAGCTACAAAACCAAAAATACTATTTTGTGATCTAAGGCTTTCACCTGGGCAAACTAAAACTTGTAAGATAGAATTTATTACCTTTTATTGTATCATTTTACTATTACATAATTGCAGATATTTATCGTGAGAAAATACCTAATGACTCCCCTCCGTCATATAGAGGTCAGTTAGTAAAATACTCTTATAAAATTACGATTGGTACTCAAAGAGTAAACAGTCCGGTAAAATTATTAAGGGTACCAATAAGAGTTTTACCGCTTTGTGAAGCATTTTTGAATGAAGCAGTTGCTTTGTGCAATGAAACAACTGAAGAGTTGACACCTGCTAATCCATTTTTAGAGATAAGACAAAAAGAAAAACCTCTCGATTTGGCTCTTCAGACCTTGCAGGTTAGTACAAATATCTATTTTAACTATTATCAGATAATGCTATTGTACCAAATTTCCTTTATTTAGTACAATTTTTATACAATAGTTTACAAATTTTAAATAACAAATTACAACTTAACTTTCAAGAACTCCCTCTGGCATTGGTGCAGCTGTTTATATATTGGCGGTGGTTCTACCGTATCATATTTTCAACCAATCAATCACTTTCAAACTTCATTTTCTGTTGAACTTTGTCATGAATTCTTTTGGCTAACTCAATTCTTCGAAGTAACCAAAAGCGATGTTGAAGGGTAGCTGCATTTCTTTACCACAGACTGTGCTGCCTGGTGTTCTTTCGGTAATCTTATTGGACTACTGAGCGATAGGATATGAAGGACATATTGGTCCCAATCCCAATGTTTGTTGATGACTATTCGCAGGTGATTCTCCAGGGTCCAATTAAATCTCCACCATGCCATCAGATTGTGGATGCAAAGATGTTATTCTGATCTTTTTGATATCAATCAGCTGGTAGTTCTATTAGAACACCGAATCTGCACAAGAGGTTTTCAACAAAAACTTCTGCTACCGACACTACCTTTTGATTTGAGATGGGATATATGTCTGACCGTTTACTAAAACAGTCCATCGCTACCAACAAGTAATGATTTCCATATTCTGTCTAGTTAAACAGTTCTGTAACGTCTGTGGCAATTCTTTCGCAGCAAACTCCAACATTGTATTATTTCATCTAGCCTCGGCTTCTATTTCTAGGTCTCTTGCTACTGAAAAAGTCAGCACACCGGTGACACCAATCTTCTACATCTGTTCGGCTGCTTAGTCAGTAGAACCTTTCTCTAACTTTATTCGGTCTTGTTAGTGCCGAAGTGTCCTACACCCATTCCACTATGAATTTCTCTCAACACTCAATTGATTCTATACCATCTTCTTCTTCTTCTTCTTCTAGTGGTTGGTCCTAATAAGTCCCATTGCACTGCGGCCTAATTAGGCCTATTGTGCGTCCCACTACTAGTCCTATTCAGCAAGTAGATTTGTCCTTTTTACAAAGTCCAAAAGCTTCCTTGCTGACACTTCTCTCAGTTCCTTGGGTTCCAAATAGGGTCTCCCAAGGAGCGCCATTCTGCTACGTGCAAATCCCGGGCACTCGCCCAGGATATGCAGAGAAGTTTCATCCGCCGATTCACATCCTCGGCAGACCGGACTGTCTACAAGCTTTAGTTTATGTAGATGTTTCCTAAAGTGACAGTGTCCCGTTATGAGTCCTGTCACTCTCCTGAGCCGGATTCTATTCAAGCTCAGTAGCTCATTCGCTCTTCCCTTCGAAGGATACTCCATAAGCTCCTTAGAATGGCTATGTCCTGGCCTTGAAGTCCAGTATTTCCTATGTTCTGTCTCTGTCCATTTGCCCAGAGCCCGCCTGACCACACTGGGAGATGTGCCACAGAAGGGCTCCGGGCCAATGAACACTGTCTCGGATCCCTTCCTAGCAAGTTCATCCGCTTTCTCATTTCCACAAATGCCTTTGTGCCCTGGCACCCAACACAGTCTGACTGTATTGTTGGTGGCCAGTTCAGTCAGCATTTGTAAACAGTCCCACACCAGTTTTGAACTTACCTTGTGTGCGGCTAAAGCTTTAATTGCAGCTTGACTATCAGAGAATATATATATGAGTTTACGTCTATAACCTCTACGTACATTCTCTGCCAGACACGCCATTATCGCGAAGATTTCTGCTTGGAATACAGTAGGGAACTCCCCCAGACTGTAGCTTGCACTCCATCTGGGTCTGAGTCCATATATTCCTGCACCCGTCCCTCTGGTCATTTTGGAGCCATCTGTAAACCATACTAGGCTCCACCTTTCCAGGGTATTAAACCTTTCCTCCCACTTGCTTTGATCCTCTATTCGAGTCTCAAATGGCTTGTGGAAGTGAAACCTTGGAACCATCTTGTCGGATACCATCCCAAGAGTTGGTTCCGACATAGATGTGTCTATGATCCTGGAGTGGGAACCACCCCTCCAGTCATTGTTATTCCTGAGTCGATATGCTGCTAGCCGCGCTTCTCTTTCCACCACTATATGCAGCGGTGGCAGATTTAGCATGACTTCTAGTGCAGCTGTCGGGGTCGATGCCATCGCCCCCGTTATACCTAAACAGGCCAATCTCTGAATTCTATTCAGTTTTTCCCTCGCTGTGGTCTGTTGTGTTTTTTGCCACCATACCACAGCGCCGTAAAGAATCCTAGGTCTTACTATCGACGTATACAACCAGTATGACATCTTTGGTTTCAGTCCCCAGGTGCTCCCAATAAGGCGACGGCATACACACAGTGTCTGCTTCGCCTTACTCACCACTTTTTCCAAGTGCGCATTCCAGGTAAGCTTATTATCCAGTATCACTCCTAGATATTTTACTTCCCTGGAAAGCCTAATGCTGCTCTCCCCTATTATAGGTTCAGAGTCCAATTAAATTCCTTCTCCTGGTGAAGGGTACTACGACCGTTTTGTCAGGTTTACTGACAGTGCCTGCTCCTTACACCAGTCATCTAACCATTTCAAAGCCTCTTTCATGAGTTCTGAAACGATAATATTATGTTTCCCGACTATGAGAACGACTAAGTCGTCTGCATAGCCTTGTGTATAAAAACCCTTTCGATTAAGGCCCTCCAGTGCGCCGTCCACCACTAATCCCCATAACAAGGGAGACAGTATGCCTCCCTGGGGGCAGCTCCGGCCTACCTTACACCTGGATGTCTCTCCCGAAAGGGTAGCTGTTATTGTCCGGTTTCTCAACATGGTATCTATCCAACGACATAAAGTGTCATCAAGGCCCCTGTTGCGAACTGCCAAATTAATAGATTCGAAAGGTGTATTATCAAATGACCCTTCAGTATCTAAAAGAGCTGCCAAAGCTAGATCTTTGTCGTCCATCGCCCTCCCTATCCTAGAGACTAGGCCATGAAGGGCTGTGTCGACTGATCTCCCTGCCTGATAGGCGTATTGGTATCTATGTAGAGGATTTGCCCTCAACACCCCGTCCCGTATATGCCTATCGACTATTCTCTCCAACGTTTTCAGGAGGAAAGATGTTAAACTTATCGGGCGATATGCCTTTGCCTTGGCATACGATGGACGCCCTGGTTTAGGAACAAACGCCACGTTCGTCGATCTCCATGCCAGCAGTATATAACCAAGTGCAATGTTGGCTCTGAAGACGTGAATTAAAACCGGAGCTAGACAGTCCACCGCCTGCTGTAACAGTGCAGGTAGGATTCCATCAGCTCCTGGTGATTTAAATGGGTCAAATGAACTTATTGCCCATCTTATTCGTGACTGACTCACCACCGCCTTGGCAACCTCCCAGTTCTGTCGAGACCCGGTCATTACCCACTGCTGGTGATCTCAGTCATGTTCATCTCCGTGGTTTAATAACCTGGAGCCTGAAAAGTGAGTATTTAGAAGTAATTCCAATGTCTTCCTTCCAGTTTTAGTATATTCCCCACTCGGTGCTTTAAGGGCCCGAGTTTCGTATTTCCATTCTTAGAGAGAAGTCTCTGGAGTTTAGCACACTGTGGGACATTGTCAATATCCTCACAGAACTTCCTCCATGAGTCTCTCTTCGCTTTTCTAATTTCTTTATTATACTCAGTGAGGGTTGCTCTATAAGCCTCCCACTCTCCTGTCCGCTTTGCTCTATTGAATAGTTTCCTTGTCTGTCCCCTCAACTGTGTGAGTTCCTTGCTCCACCAGGGCACGGTGTGCTTGTCGGACCTCACTTTGATAGGACAGCTGTATTCATATGATCTTGTGACGGCGTTTTGAAGTTCATCCACAGCCCTCTCAAGATCATGTGTTCCTTAATTTTGTACAGATTTCCCTAGTCCTGGCCTGTAACTCCGTTCTCCGTCAGTTCTTTTTGGGTCTCTGTAAGTTCTTACTTGCGGATTATAATCCGTTATGATTTCAAAGTGGATGTCTATGATCCGACATTGACGGCTCATTTGACACATGCCACCTTGCAATATTATTACATACCGGTCCCGATCCCACTGTTATATCGATGACTTCACTCCTATTTTTTATAACAAAGGTGGGCTCGTTCCCGATATTCAAAATCTCTAGATTATAACTAAAAAGAAAATCTAATAAAGACTCACCTCGATCGTTGACATCGCTGCTTCCCCACACCGTATGGTGTGAGTTGGCATCACATCCCACGATGAGTTGTTTCTTCTCCTTCTCGCACCAGGTTACCAGGTCCCTCAGTTCCCTGGTTAGAGGAGATTCTTTCTTATCGTAAGGGAGGTACGCTGAGCAAATCACCAGTTGTCTCTGCGTTCCCTCCGATACGTAAGTCATTTCGGCCGCCACCAGGTTATCCGTGCAGAACCCTGGAAGAGAAAAAATGTTAGTGCTATTCTTGTAATAAATACAAGCCCTAGGTCTAGTTTGGTGGCTACAATACAGTAAGCCACCATTACTTACCTGCATTCCTCTGATCCAGGATCCATGTACCCAAGGCTCCTGGATCAAAGCCAAATCCGCATTTGCGCGCGCCACACTGGCACAGAGAGCAGCATATGCCGCTCTACTGTGCTGAATGTTTGCTTGTATCACCTGAAATTTGACCAGACAATACAGATTTTGGTCCCCCCTGATCTTCATCAGAAGGTCCCAAATCTACCCTGCCCTTCTCCAGGTTCCTAAAAAGGACCCTGGTGAAGTTCAGAAATGGTCTGAAGCCCTCCTTCTGAAGTACCTTCATACTCATTTCATCTACTGAGAGGACTAGGGTCTGGCACTTCTCCTCAACCTTGCGGTTGATTAGCCTCCAGGCCACCGTCCTCAATTCCCCGTTCTGGTTTTCCAGACGGCGCATGATGGTTTCCGGTTCATCAGGATGACCCGGAATCCATACGATGAACTTAGCAAACTTAGGTAGGTCCCTAGGCTCAACAGCGCTGAGTCTAGCCCCCTCCCAAGGCACCAAGCTCGCCGTAATCGTTTTAAGCCATTGCAGGCTCTCCTCGTTGAAGACCGTGATCGCTAGCGTTCCCCTCCTTCGACGACATTCCAGGAAGCGCGGTTGTGTACCCTCGTCCGCGATCCCATCAATGGCCCCCAGAAGCGCCGACTGGACAAGTCCCATCTGGTCCTCATCCATTTGGACTTCCGGGTATCCATGGGGGACCACCACTGCTTGAATCCCCGACGGCGCCTCCCCGTAAGTCTTGCCACGTTGTTCCGTGGCTTTAGGCCTCTTGGAAACAGGCCGGTCGGAAATCGTCCGACCGTCCACGTTTCTTTCCGAATTGACTTGGCCCCGGTTCAGCTGCCTGCGGAGTTAGAGTAGCACTTGAGCCAGGTTCCGTCATCGGCCCCTGTCCTTTTCCCGCCTCTGCCTTCCGCAGTTTTTTAAGTTAGCACTTTTGCGCACCAGACAATTGCGTCCTACCTTCCAGGTTCAGTCTGTCGACTCCCCTAGAGATAGCAGTCATTGGTGTTTGCTTCCCAGTGGCTGTTTTATTTTCCGCCCGGTCAGCAATTACTGCTGCCCCGGCAGATGTAGGCGGTCCCCTTTCAGGTTCCTGTTTTTTGTTTTCTCGGTCCATAAAGGTCCCACGAGTTTGAAGGAAATAAAAGTCACCGCCAGGCAGTGCCCCATACCTGACGGAAGGCTAATTACGATGGGATGCGCCAGGTTCCCCAAAGAGATCGTTTACGATGCGACATTTTTACCTACCCCCGCACCATTCAGCCCTCGGCACGATGCATTTCCACCTTGGCTTGGGTAGCTGAGCTGTTTCTTAGTTTTCACTACTCTCCCTCGACCTTTCCGGGTTGGGTGACCCTGCCAGGAATATAAAACTCCCGCCGGTTTAGCTCTCGGGTTCACTGTAGCTACTTAAGCCCCTCCACTAACGACAAGGTCATACAGCTCCCAGGAAGGGGATCTTCTACATCTGTTCGGCTGCTTAGTCAGTAGAACCTTTCTCTAACTTTATTCGGTCTTGTTAGTGCCGATGTGTCCTACACCCATTCCACTATGAATTTCTCTCAACACTCAATTGATTCTATACCTTGGATGTACGATTTGCTTTTGTACTTCTTTGCCATTTGGACTTTCCTACTGTCACTATAGTACTCATTTTCGAGGATGAGTAAGTCCTATATTGTCCAGTAACCTACTAACGCTGATTTGTCTTATATTTCTGTTCATCACCCATGTTCTTACTAACTGATAATTGATTTTAAATTGTTATCATTTCATTGATCTTCACTAAGTTTTTTAGTTTCCAACTGTATATCTCTCATAATTTCTATTTTTTGGGAAGTTTCCAAATTCTTTTGTCTGCTCGGTTGCAGTCATAGATCTAATACTATTAAATCTATGGTTGCAATGTGAACATCATTTGGCACATGTCCTACTAGATACTGTATCTGCATTTCCATGAAGTCCTCTTCTATGTTCAATAGTGAAGTCACATTCTTGGAAAATTTGCAACCAACGAGGTGAAATACACCTAGGTTCTCAAACTGGTTAAACCATTTCAAGGGGATCTTTCCCAAGATGAAGTATTATCCATAGAGTTACTTATGAAAATGTGTCATGGTTTTGATAATGTCTAATAACTCTTTTCTGGTCACACAATAATTCTTCTCTGGTTTTGACAATGCCTTTTGAACTATGCTATTACTCTTCTTCCTTGTGGATTTGTGATAAGATACCTCCAATTCCAGTGTTTTCAAATGCCTGTTGATATTTTGGAGACTAATCAATCGTAAAATTGCCAATTTTCTGAGTTGATATAATGGTGTAGCAAGATCTGTGAATTCTCGAACAAATATATTGTAATACAGCACAGACCTAGGAAGCTCTTTAACTAATGTGTGTCTTTTAGAATAGGGCAGTTTCGTACAACTACAGTTTTTCTTGACACCGTTTGCTGATATAATATGACACTTTTGGAATCCAACATAGAGGTCCATGTTGCATTTTCCAAGGTGTCTGTAGTGCCATTGATTCTAGGTAGAAGGTAACTGTTTCTTGAAATTTCCACAGGTTTCTAAGAACAGTATAAACCAACATTTAAGCATCCAAGAACATGAAGGAAATATTCTAGACACATCATGAAACGAATAAGTAAAGAAAGTACATACGTTAGGGTGACTTTTTCTACAAAATAAAATGGACAAGATAAGTAACTCGAATGACGAATTGCCTTGTTAAAATACCCTAACTATAAAAAGATTACATTATGTACTACTCATAGAATCATCTGGCAGGCTACTCTAGCCGTGATCATTTCATCCATTGCATCTGAAATCAACATTATTTTGTGTAAATAAATTATTACAATTATATATCATTATGTTAAATCTAATTACTTTGTTGCAGAATATAACTGCCCGACGAAATCCAAACTTCTATATGATAACAAACCTATGGGGAAAAGTTGCAAGATTTTGTTTATTTAAACCAGCATACAAATTAGGGGAAGACATTATAGGAACATTTGATTTTACTGTTGCAACAGTGAACTGTATGCAAGTATCGGTTTCCCTACAATGTGAAGAAGAAACTACCATCGATTTCAACAATGAGAATGCCAAGCAAGTTAGAATAATCACATTTAGTAAGCACCACGAGGTGTGTTTGGGTTATAAATATACTCAGCTTATTTTGCCAATACCATTGCATGTTACTCCGGCTTTTAATACAAAATTGGGTAAGTTGCTGCAACAAAGAAATAGGACAAATTATTTCACGTTTCAGTTATTTAAGAGACAAAACAATTAATCAGTTCTATTGAAATTTAAACCTCCTGGAATCTGCATTGACTATTTATCTTTATCCTTTATAGCAGCGGTCTTCAAATTTTTACGACTTGCGGAACCACTCCAACTCGATATTTTTGAGGAACACACAACACCAAAAATAATTTTCGAACACATTTTTTACTGATTATTTAATACATTTATTTATAAATATGTACTACGATTAACAAAATAAATATTCCACTAAGTAAAAATTAAAGTAAGACTAACTTTAAAGTTAAATATTTATTGAGTAATTAAAGAAAGAGTAAATATAATCAAATGTGCTTGAATATTTTTACATAATATGTTAAAATCAGATGCTATTGTCGTAAGTTGCAATCACATTTCAAATTCTTCATTAAGGGCATTGCAATACTTTGTTTCTATCGCTACGTAGGTAAGTGGAAAATGATTTTTTGACAGGTACATAGTTGCAAAAGGCATTAATACATTTATAGCCTGGTCAGCAATTTCAGGATATTCCTTATAAATCTCTAGCCAAAAATCAAGGGAAAGGCGACGTAACCAACTCGAAGAACGCTGTGCCAGCTTATAAGTTATAAGCCGACTTACTTGCACTTGCATAAATAGATAAAGCTCTTATAGCGCATGTACTTATAAAATTCAAAGTTTTAATTGTATCGATAATAAAATTTTAAATTTTTGACTGAGTCGCGGAACTTCCAGAGAGGTTGTGCGGAACACTGGGGTTCCGCACAACCTCTCTGGGGGTTCCGCGACTCATTCAAAAATTTAAAATTTTATTATTGATCATTACAAAATAAAAAAAAAAATTATACTCTTCAAACTTTTTATTTTTATAAGTACACACGTATAAGTTACTATAAGAGCTTTATCTGTTTATGCAAGTGCAAGTAAGGCTTGTAACTTATAAGCTGGTGCAGCGTTCTTCTCGTTTGTTATGTTGCCTTTCCCTTGATTTTTGGCTAGAGGAATAAGGAATATCCTGAAATTAATTTGCACAGGCAATAAATGTATTAATGCCTATGCGAAAAATTTTTTTCCACATACATAGCGACAAAAACAAAGTATCCCAATGCGCTTAATACAGAATTTGAAATGTGATTGCAATTTACAACAATAGCACCTGATTTTACTATATTATGTAAAAATATTCAAGCACATCCCACTCTTTGATTATATTTACTCTTTATTCAAATTCAAGTTAAACTACGAAAATATTTTAGTATTATTTGAATAAAAGGCAGAAAAAAGCCACACAAATGATTTATTAATGAAAAAAAAAAAAAAAAATGAATGATTAGGTAACATAATTAGGTATGATTTTTAAAGTATTCAATACCCACACAATACTGTGCCATGCCAAATTGACGTACAAATACTTATCCCTATTACTATGTTGACACTTATTGAGCTTGATAAAACGGTGCCGTACGACCATGCGCACACGTGAAATCCAACTGATTCGCCCTTTATTATACATAATTTTTACATACAACAGTATTCTAGGGTTAATTTTAATTTGTTCATAATGACAATAATCGCTGCTAAAAAAATAATCGAGATATCCAAATATTTCAATATTAATGCAAACTCACATATTTTTATTTTTCTAGTGAGCTTAAAGTGGCGTCTGCATTTTGAATTTGTGACAAGTACTCATAAAGGTTTAGCAACGCCAAGCATAACAGACTCTGATTGGCAGGCTCCTTCGGAAGTTCCCATTGAAACGATGGTGTGGAGTTTGCCAATACGACTATACTCCACTACTCCAATTCATGTGGCACAAGGAATACAAACTAACACTGTTCATAGATTATCTATTCGTTGATTATTTATTGTTAATTTTACCTATTTATGTTTTTTATATTGGTATTATAAATATTTAATGACTAATATATATATAAGCATAAACACTGTACAGCAGTTTTAATAAGAATAGTACTTGAGTTAGAATAAAATATATTTAAAAAATTTTAAGTTAGCAATTCAGCAGTGATGGTTTGAATTAACTTACACGGTAAGTGTTTATTTGCTTTTGATAATTTTATGCATGTATTTTAAAGTGTTACAGTCACTTCGCGACATTTACTTACATTATTATTATTGTTGTTATTAAAGGCCCCTTATAATATTGTAATTTGGGGTAGAAGCACTATGATAGACAGAGTTTTTATTCTTCAAAAATGATTAATTAGGCTAATTTTTGGTATATCTCCGTGTAGCACTTGTAAGCAATGTTTCACTACTAATAATATTTTGACAGTGCCCTACATCTATATACAGGGTAGGAAAGTACCGATGGTCTATCTGAAGTTACGTGAGAGCGATAAAGTAAGCCATAGAAATCCATGCGATAGAGAAGGATGGCTATAATGAAGGCCTCTCATAGTCACCGCCCGTTTCGCCCTTCCACAAATAAGATCCACTTCTTATTTGTGGAAGGGCGAAATGGGCGTTGACTATTAGTCGCCTTAATTATAGCCATCCTTGTCTATCACATGGATTTCTATGGCTTACTTTATCGCTCTCACGTAACTTCTGATAGACCATCGGTACTTTCCTACACTGTATATAACATAGGAAAATTGACAAGATTCGGTTTGTACAAACTGAAAACTAACGATTGCTACCACGACTATAATACTCGACATGGTGGTATGCTTAGTATTCCTCGACATAGTCATTGCTATTATGAAAAATCACCTTATTACTCAGGCATTAAAATATATAATAAACTACCACGATATATTAAGGATGTAAAAACACATAATCAATTCAAACTTGAACTAAAGAAATTTTTAATTTCTGAATGTTTTTATTCAGTTGAAGAATTTTTAAATTAACATGTTTTCTCCGAGTTTTTGTAATTAGTTTTTGTAGTATAGTCAACTTGTGTTTACTGTTTGTTTTTTACAATGTATTTCTCTGTTATCTTGAATATTTTTCATTGATTTATATTCTTTTGATTTGATGGCCATATCTGTTTTTTGTAACAGCTATAGTGACAAATAAATTATTATTATTATTATTATTATTATCATACATTTCATTCATTTTCAATGGTTTCACATGCAAAATTGTTTAAGTATGGAGTTCAAGTAGAAAACTTTCGCACAAGTCTCACATTTGAGCCATGTAGTTTCGACGATATTTTTGGGGCACAAGGTTAGGTTAGGTTAGTGTTAAATATATATTACAATATTTTGGCAGGTTTTTAAAATTTTGTAGGAATCGTCCTTATTGTTTGATTTATTTTATTAATTCCTCTAAACGAAAAAGGTTTTAATTCGGCAAACTAACCTTTCCTCAATGTACTACGTTGCCATATTTCATTTATGTGAATAATTAAGTATATGAAAAATTAAAAAATTTGAGTATTAATATCTTTAATCCTAACTGGTCAATCCTTTCCAGATTGTTACATGTAATGTATTTCTACACAAATTAGTCTTGCCTAAACTTTTAGCAGTTTCTCGAATGGGGTTATTCAGCTACAGCAACGTTTTCATCGTAACGACAACATTTTTTGAGATGGTGCCATTAAAGCCTATGGTAAACATAGTCAACTTTGATTAAGCATACCTCAAAAATTATATGGTAAAGCGCGTTGAAATTTTGTAAAAGTATCTATGTGGTGCTTATTTAACTATACTGAAAGTTTCGTAATTATCTTGAGTTGTGTCCATTTAGGTGATGACTACCTTAAGTAAAGTTATTACAAAATTGTGGAGTATAAGCTAAAAGTGACGTACTTGTTTGTTGTATAAAAAGTTATGTAGCGTTTTCTGTCTATTGTTCATCGTCCTACAATTTTGCCTGACGGGTAAAGTCATCAAGAATGAATTAAGTGTAACTTATTACATTTAAATTAAAAGTGTCTATTTCCTAACGTATTTTTAATATTATTTGAAAAATAAAGATACTTCACTGCGGCGCTTGTTCCCAAAAGATGTTCCTGCTGTGCTGATGTGAGCAAGTTATATGTATACATATGCCTCCTACAGTAAGGTACAATTTTTATGTTGCAGATATGGGGGCTTCCCCCACTGAACGTGATAACTTATTTTTTTACCTATGCAGTATTTATGTGTTCCAGTGAAATAATGCATTCTGAATTTTATTACAAAGATCTTTGTACGAAATAAAAAAATGGTAGAAACAAATCTGCAGATCCAGGAGCTGCTTTTTGTTTTTGGAATAATAGTTTCAGACCCTTTGTCTGAATCACTGACTATTTGAAGAATACTGGTAAAAAATAACTTAATTACTAATTAGGTTCATATTTTAAGAATCTCATTTTTACTTACTCTATATCAAGGGTCGGCAACTGGCGGACCGCGGTCCAGGTCCAGACCGCGGAAGGTAAAATACTGGACCGCCAAAAATTTTTTGAAAGTATAAATTACTAAAATAAATTATTTAAAAAATGTTTTTTACGTTTAAGTGCCAATCTTATCATTTTTTCTAGTATTTTACAATTGTGTGAGTGTTTTGAGTTCTTAATTAGTAAGCAGATTAAATTTGAGTCCAAATTAAAATAAAAAAATAATATATATGATTTTTTTTCTGGACCTCGTTAAAAATTTTCAAAAGTATCCGGACCCCACCTAAAATTACTTGCCGACCCCTGGT